CACTTCCCTTATCTATAAGGTTCAGCTTACACAGCATCAGACTCGTATGCTGCAGCAAAATGGAGTCCAAAGAGGCTCTAGTAAATGTACTTGTAAATAAATTTTTTAAGCTTAGCCAAACATATACTTAGTCGATTTTTTCTTGTTCGTGTGTATCCTCTTAGAATTAATAGCTCTGAAGGAGTTTAGCCTTTTTATCTTTGTATTACGTGATTAAACAAGTTTATGTTTATCCTGTCAGGCAAATGAGGAATAGGGATGCTGCAGTCAAATCACGAGAGAGGAAGAAAATGTATGTGAGAGATCTCAAGATGAAGATTAAGTGCTATGAAGCAGAATGCAAGAGGCTCGGGATGTTACTTCAGTGCTGTATTTCTGAGAATCAAGCTTTATGCCTTTCCCTGCACAACAAGGCCTTTGATGCTTCCGTGACCGGGCAGGAGTCTGCTGTGCTCTTGTTGGGTAATGACTAATCTTTCTTGTTCTCCTTTTTGTTTCTTTTTTGTTTATTGACCTTTGGACATAATTAATTAGTGGGGAAATACCAGGCCACGATTCAAAAGAATAATGGAATCTTTCTTCCTAAATGACAGAAAGTTACGATCTCCTGTCTTGCTTATTTAAGCAAACTGCTAGCTATCATTCTTATAAATTTTATAGTCTCATTATTTTTGCAAATGGACCTTTTGATTATGATAGTGAGTAAAAAATATTAATTACCATTGCCACCATTTATCTGGTCTAGTTTCTCTATAAATTGATCTATGATGTCTTGTGGCTAACCTTCGGTTATGGTTTTGGGTCACATTGCCATGGTTTTTATTTTTCTTTTTAGTTGCTGTTAGTTAAATAACGTAGATGCATATTCTTCCATTACTTGAAATTGGATCAGTTGTTAGTCTTGATATGTCTAGTTTTGCCCCCACATTTTTTTCTTAACCGAGAATAGCCTATCCATTGATGATTAGATATTACCCATAGTGGAGCCTCCTTAGCAATATAAAGTAGGCAATTGCTTTGTAGTTTGATTGCCCTGTATGATATATT